TTTTTAAAGATTAATGTTTCCTTTTCAGTGCCGATTTCTTTGTGTTGTCTGCATTCAGCATTAAGTAAAACCACCAATAAAATATTTATAAATCCTTAGTCACAGTCCACTTTCTTAGTGGATCATGGTTTTTCTTTTCATTTCAGGACTTTGTAATGGATTGCAKTTGGCTATTTGAAAAACAAAGCTTTTTTTAAAACTGATATAATAGATAGCTAGACTTTCATGCATGTTTTATAAATGCTCCAAAACTAATTTGAGTGAATTGCTTGTGGATTTAAAGAGTGATAATAACTAGCATGGTTAAGCACCTACCAATTAGACAAAGTCACTCTCCATGCCTCATCTCATTTCATTCTCTTACCCCATAGGGCCCGACATGTCCCCGTTTTATAAGATGAGAAAGCTGACACAGGGAAGGTTAAGTAATTCATCCAGCCCAAGGTCACACAGTCAGGCCATGGTGGAGCTAGGATTCCAGATTGAGGCTCTATCCCCAATTAGAAGTTGGCTCTTTCCTCCCACTCCACTGTCTGTCACGAAACTGGCAACCGTACTGTGTTTATTTAGAGCCTCACCTGCTGCCATCCCCGCAGGGCATTACTAAATTTTCCACTACTGTTCCTATATTCTTTTCCTCCTGTGATACACCATTTTACACATGCTCCCAGTGTTGCAGCCTTTAACATTCAAGTTCAGACCCTGGCATATTTAGAAAACATTTCCTGGTCAACCATGGGCTCCCACTTCTTTACCTGTCAGTTCCCACCACTGCCACACTCAGTGTGATCAAATTTATTTGCATTTTATGGCCTGTTCCTCTGTAAACATGTATTTTTTTTTTTAGATATGTCACTGTAATCATAGGCTTAGTGAAAGCAGAGCCTTCATCTATTTTTACATCSCTTCCTGTCCACATGCATCATATAAAGCTTTTGGACACAGGTACTGATAGCATTACTTTGCCTTTCACTATATTTTTTATTTCAGATTAAATAGGTCTTTCTTTTCACATGTTCCCCCCAATAAGTTGCATGCATAGCCTGTGCTAGTCTTCATAACTGAGTGTGCCTGCAGCATGACAGACAAACTATGCCAGCTGGTTCTGTTCAGCAGCTCCTTACCTAAAGATTGTGCAGGTTCCCCCCAGCAGCACCTGTACAGGTTCACCACCTGGTGCAGAAGTCCTGGAGCATTATTTACCTTCTAGTTGTTTTTGGTGGTGTTGGTATTTGTTTAAACCTGACCTTAGCTTTGTACTTGTGAAATTGTTTACATATGTATCAAAGTGCTTTCAGTTACAAAAATCAAACTCCAAATTGGAAGCAGCTTAAACCATAGAAAGTACATTGCTTCATGATACAAGAAGTCCCATCAGTAGGGTTGACTTAGTCCAAAAGCCTTTAGCTTAGCTCCCCTGTGCTTTGGGTGGTGTTCTTCTGATTACATTCTCCAGTTCTGAAGTGAGTGCAGAATTTTCAGGTATCACGTCCATTTATAACTAAGTAAAGAAGAAGAAATTATCTTTTTTTTTTCCCCTCTTGGTACTGGGGATTGAACCCAAGAGTGCTCTACCACTGAGCTATAATATGCCCAGCCCTTTTCATCTTTTATTTTGAGACAGGATCTTGCTACATATTGCCAAAGGTGGCCTTAAACTTGAGATCCTCTTGTCTTRAACTCTCAAGCAACTGGGATGGTAGGCATTTGCGGCAAAAAGAAACCATCTTTACTGTGATTTCCTCCTAGAATACCCTTCTTCATTGTCTGAAATTACATCATGTACCCTAATCTGAAATCAACCAGTGTGAGGCATTGGTTGACTTTAGGCTTTAGTTAGTCATTGGTGGGCATAGGGGAGGTAGAATTCATTTGATTGACTACGACCAGTGATTTTAGAAATGACTGGCGCCACTGTTGGCAATTAGTGGCCAGTTTGACACAATAAAGAATTGTTCTATAACCTGCATGATTTTTTAGTATTCTTTGGAACATTCATATGCTAAGAAAACAGAAATAAGAACTATTACAGTTATCTGAGACCAAACCCCAACTCCCTTTACATTTTAAAACAAAAATAGTTTTTAATGTACCATGAATTTTCTTAGAGTGCAACCACCAAATAATTAAAGGAAGATTCTACTTTATTTTGTTCAAGACTTGACCAAGAATTGTATGTTTCAAAAGTCTTAATATTGTCAGCAGTGCTACTGATGATAATAAGTGACCAACATGATTCTATTACATGTATTTACTTGCTTGTTCTAATGTAGTTTGCCTGAGCATTTACATATTGGAAAACATTTTATTATAAATTATTGTCATTGTATCTTGCCTCTATATTACCTGCTTTTTGTGGAATAATTTTACTGATCTCAGCAGTTGTTATTTCCTCTTATCTGGGATTCATGTTACAGCTTATTTTATTTATTCATCTTCATACCTTTTCCACGTAGTTCAGCTTGGAGACTATACCAGGAAGTAGCTTTCCTCAAAGTTAATAGCACACTGGTTGGGGTTTGGAGAGATGAGGCCAGCATCTGGTTAGAATACCCTTTTAAATTGTTCAGGCATAAGCCTTTTCTTTGTACTTCAAAGTGGATTCAAAACAGTTTTCTAGAAAAGATCTTGGCCATGGACACCCCTTGGCTTCCCTCAAAGCACACTTTTGGTGTATCATTTAGTTGATCATCCTCAGACTTCATATCACAACTGGGCTGGTCCATAGGGGTTGATACTTCCCTGGGAACAGAGATTTGGCCACACTCATGTTAGATATTAAGAACTACAATCTAGAGTTCCTCATTACTTACTATTCAAGACTTAACATACTGCTTGGCAGATGTTTTAGATTATCATTGACCAACCTGAAGTGATAGAAATTTTCCAGGTATCTGTGCTGTTCAATGCAGTAGCTACTTGCTACTCGATTAACTTGAATTAGAAAGTCAAATTTTATTTACACATATCACATTTCCAGTGGTCAGTAGTCATCACTGGTAATTGTAATCAATGGCACAGATTACAATTGCAGAAAGTTCTTTTGGGTCACATTTTTCTAAAATCTCCCTTGGATTCAAGTCAGGTCAGTGTAGAGCTAGATATTTGGACCCCATTATGGCAGTGCCTTTACTGAGCTCTTCATTAATAAGTGGTGGTATCACTATATGGGGCTTATTAACTCAAAGGTTTACAAATGCCACTGTCCTCACGTCACAGGGAAGCCAATCGACTGGAGGCAGGTTCAAATAACATATCCGAGGTCACCCACCTAGTAAAGAGTAGAGGTGGAATTTGAACTCAGATGGTGGACTGGGTCTCTTCACCATTTGCTATGATGCCTTTGCTTAGCGTCTTTTTTTTTTTTTTTTTTTTTTGGTACTGGGGATTGAACCCAGGAGCATGCAACCACTAAGCCACTTCC